TCTGCTTAAGCTTTAGTTATCTATCTTTTTGCTCTTATTTCTTTGATAACATATTTCAATCTTTTAGTATTTCTAGTGATTTTCTATTAAAATATGGATATTTATTAAGAATTTTAAGCTATGAAGCCTTACCCAAAAGGAGGTTCAGCCATCTCACTACTAGATCGATATAGTATAGGTTAATTCCCTTAATCCAATGTGACTCAGCTGGGGCAAATTTGCCCACTAGAGAATATTAGGCAAAATGGAGGGATACTTTTTGTTTGTTACCCCTGAGGAGATTCTACTAGCACCTAGTAAGTAGAAGTTGGGAATGCTGCTAAACAATCTATAGTACACAGGAAAACCCCCCACAACAAAGAATTGTATAGCCCCAAATGTCAATAATGCCAACATTGAGAAACTGTGCTTTAATCCAAACAGGTATTTTGTTGGGTTTAAGCTGATTTGCAGCCTTCATAAGACTCAGTCTATCCCTGGTTTGTCCATAGACCTCCAGGATTAAAACTGAACCCTGATGTATTCTCACGACTTATGTAAGATTTAAATTTAGAGAAGATGGAAGTGAGCAAAGAGACAACAGAATATAAGGCTTCCATTTTGTGTGGGAATATCTAGTAGTACTAGAGCCGCTCTGGAATTTTTCTGATGATAGGCGCCGTGTTTCAAGTGCTATGATCCTGGAACTAGCAGTAAAAATATGACTTGTGTATTCCCTAGCTCCATAATTGCTACAAGGACAGTAGTAACTCCCTATATATACACCAATTTGTTGTTAATTTTCTGGGATTTATTACTTTGATGTGGTTGTCACATCAAAGGTTACTCTCACACCCCTTTCCATGACTTCGTAAATACCTACTGCCTTATTTTACCCCCAATAATAATAATAATAAAATAACTAGAGTAGTTTAGTTATCTATAACCAAATAATGACTAACACATCAAATATCTATCATTATTACATTTAGGGTGAAATATTTTTGAGTGAACTAAAATTCTTCTCGAAGTTTTAAAAAAATAACAATTATAAATAACCACAAAGCTCTCAAAAAGTTTAAAATATGAAGATAAGTAGTTTCATGACAGTTTCCAGTGGACTGTAACAGCTTTCTTTTCCTCCCTCTGTTAAATTAGGAAAAAATAACTAGGTCTGTAAGTGTCCATAAACAATACTTAACAGCATGATACTTTCTACTTAATAATATTTTAACATAACCCTTTATTCAGAATCTTTAATATTGTGCCTTAAGTCAAAGTAAACATTAGATGATTATTGTTACTTAATGAATTTTAATGGCCTCTTTTTGAAATTTGAATAAATTGAATGTCTTACTATATCCTAAAATACAAGATTGTGACCCTACCAACCTGTCCAACTTTAATTCCTGCCTCTTTCACACTCATTAACTATGTTAGAGATACTTCGTTATTCTTAATAGTCTTCAAGTGTACCAAGCTCATAAAATCTTGTCATTGTATAAGTCATCCTCTCTGCCTAAAATGTTCTGTCCCCAGGTAACTGCATGGTCATTTCTTTCAAGTTATCTGGATATCAGCTAAATATCACCTAACAATCAAAAGTAAAGTAACTATTATCTCCTGCTCAAACACTACCACAACATTATTTTTGATTTGCCTCAGAACAATATCTTTTCAGATATCATGGTATTTTATTTTTCAATTTAATAGTTTAACCTGTCATATAACCCCAGGAGGCCTGGAATCTTACCTGTCTCATTTATACATCTAAAAGAATGGTGACTAAAAATTGGAAGGGCTTGGTAAATATAATATTTGCTAAATGACTGATTCAGTACATTAATGAATAAATAGTTAAATTAATTCCAACTGGCCTTTTTCCTTTCTTGTTCTTCTCAATCTCCTATTCCATTCAGCAAACCATGTGCCGACTCAATAACCTCCTCATGGAAGCTTTTACTTCCTGGTTGCGAAGTGTATAAATCACAGGGTTCATCAATGGAAAGATCACTGTGTGAAAAAGAGAAACCACCTTGTCAGCTGGGAAGGCTCTGAAGGGACGAGTGTAGATGAAGATGGCAGGTCCAAACATGAGAAACACAATGATAATGTGAGTGGTGCATGTGGAGAGGGCCTTGCTCTTCCCCTCAGAAGAGGACCCACGGACACGGCAGAGGATGACTGCATAGGAGGCCAGAAGCCCCAGGAAGCACAGGAGGGTGAACAGGCCACTGTTGAAGACCATCAGGAGCTCCACCACGAAGGTGTCTGTGCAGGCCAGCTTGATGACCTGTGGCACATCACAGAAGAAGTTATCCAGCTGGTTGGGGCCACAGAAGGGCAAGCGGACAATAAGGGCCACTTGTGCAATGGAATGAGCAAAGCCTCCAACCCACAGAGCCATCAGCAGGGCATAGCAGGCT